CAGTCTGGTGAAAATTACTGCTTTTGTTACACTGATCAGTGACTCTACCTTAGAAAAGCCAATCTCTGTGTGCTTAAGGAGGTCACATGAAAGCCAAAGTTATTTGTGGTGTTAACATACCCAACACAACAAATATTTATTAAATCTATTAAGATAATTTTTTTAATCTATTATAAGATTTATCAAGTTTTTTTTCACAATGGAAATTTCACAGTTTTTAATGACATGCAAGTTCAGTGAATCAGAGTTATTAACTTGCATATGGAGACTCATGCTAAGATTAGAGTGAAGATCATCAGGCAGGATATCAGCATCCGGCCTGCTCTCTACCAGAGATGCTGGGAGGTGACACATCTGCTGATAGCTGTCAGCAGAGACGTCAGCACAGAAGCTCTGGGCAGGGCGAGGCCAGCCACTTGGGGAGTTCCATGTAGGGGATAAACTGGAGCTGCCTGAAGTGAACCTGAGTCCAAAAGTTATCCAGAGCTCCCTCGTCAGTCATAAATCACAAGTTTACTCTGTTTCACAGCTAAAGTTCATACATGGGAAAATCAGTTAGGAGCCAGAATTTATATGAAACCATTGTGTCTTTGACCTTTCTCACTGAGTTTGTTCCTGCCGGACATTTGCATGATGTTTACTTGAAAAGAGAGAAAGACATTTGAAAAGTATGAGGAAAATTGACAAGTTTGTTAATATGTTTTTCCTTAAATTTGTGAGAAGCACAAAAAATGAAGAAAGATAATAAACATAACATGGTGTTACAGAAAGATATAAAAATGAATTTATTCAGACCTTTTAAAGAAAAAACAACTGTCTCTGTTCAGCTACTGATTGTTTCAGTGATGATCAAAAGGTGTGAGAGCTGCACAATACCAAATAAATAATGTGTTTACTGAAAGTATAGTTCACTGATGGTGCTCCATGGCAGAATAACTGCTTCATTAAATTTACGTTAGTCTTCAGACTGTGCAGAAGCTGCACAGGCCTCATGGAGTTTGTTTGAAAAAGTAAACAATGGAGAGGTCATGTGGAAACACATAAGACAGCTTTAATCTTGACAATTAACATCTGAAGATTATTCGCTATGTGACCTTTGTAAGCACTCAGATGTTTTATGTTTTTGTGGAACAAAACCAGATTGCCATTTCTCAGAAAAAGAAAACAATCGTAAATAATTATAATTTATGCCTGTGAAAATGCTTTAAAGTTGAATTCCAACACTTTTTTTTTATGAAATGAAAAGATTGACAAAGTGTATGGAACCAGGGCTCTACTCTGGTGGCTTAAATAGTTTAGTTTAGTTTCCAGGATATATAATCAAAACCTAAATCTCATCAAACTTTTCATAATGTTGTCTTCATGACATAAGTCCACAGATCATATTTAAAGGTTCAAAGGTTCAAATGTTTTATTTGTCATTTAATAGAGATAACCATGAAAACATAATGAGGTTTGAATGCAATCACAGAAAAGTATGTTGCAGAGCCATTGCAACATATATTAAAGAAAGATATTCAATGTTCAATGTACAATTAAGAGATGACATGTCTCAATGGTACCACCATTTGTAATCCCGCTTTTAGATATCAATGTAGATACATATCAAATGGTCAGCATCATATTTACATTTCTATCTAAGCAAACAGGTTTGCTCGCTAGCCTTCACAGAATCAAAGGGACAGAACAAAGCAAATCAGTCATCAGGGATTCTGAGAAACATGACAGTGAGGTAACAAGTCTCTTCCTGTTTGATGGCCACATCCCAGGCTGGAAAGGGTCACAGTAACTCAGGATGCGTTTTAATGAAACAAAAGTAACAATGAAAAAAAACCTCCCATCTGATACTTATCTTATCTGAGCAAGAAACTGCTTTGTCATTTTACTCTGTGACACAGCTGCAGAATTCTAATTTCATTCCAATTCCAGTAACACTATGCATGATATTCTGGATGAGATTGTTGGGTCACGAAATGACCCACTTTAGCGGACTCGATGTGAGGTGTCTGAGTTTTCATCTTTGGGCTACTTAATCCCCTACAAACTCAGATCTGGGTCACATATACCAGCTCTGTAGATTTCAGCCACTTGTGGCGCTCAGCAAACATGTGCACAGTATGATTGCTTAAGTGTCAATTAGGACGTCAACACTGTCACTCAGTCAGAGGTGCAACCACAGGATAAAAAATATCCAACAAGCCTCACGTCTAAATTAGTGCTTAACTCTCACAAACTCTAATCTTAATGAGGTCTATACCGGCTGCGTCACGGCAGTGGACTCCACTGTGGTGGCTAATGAGAATGTGTCCCTACAGTATTTACCAGGTGTGGGGAGTATTGTGTGGAAAGCAGAGGGGATCAACTGCTAAACCCATCCTCTGATGAGAACAAATAGCTGTGAGAATATATAGGTCAGTGAGGTTTAGAACAAACTCCATAGCATGTCAACAACCGACCAGTAATGCTCCTGTGGGTTTTTGTGCTTATAATAATTCCAGGGAGAAGATGCAACTCAACAAATGCTGTATTACCAATATTAACTGATGTAGCAACATTAAATGAGACATTTAAGTTGCAGGTTAATGTGGCATATAGGAATAAGAGAAGGATCGAGACCTGTGGGTTGCATAGGTCTCATATCACAGGATAATGGGTCAATGCAACAGGAGGAAAGAATGGACCAGGCCATATTTGCTTTCCTTCATTGCATTGTGTTGATACCAACTGAGAGACAGGCTACTGTGATCGGGCAAGTCAGAGGCCATTGGCTGTTGCCGAGAAATATAGTGCACAGGAAGCTGTGGTGATGCTGCCCATCGTCCATAGCTTAGGTTTTCCCTTTTATTCTGTATCATTAATCTAATTCTGACACGAGGCAGCCAAGTAAGAGGGATGCACACAAATGAAAATGCAAAACCTTAATGCAACTCATCACTGATGTATAAAACACGTATCTATCAGACCATATTCGTGTCATCGTGCCCACTAATATTTACACAGGTTGCCATGTTTCACTCTACATGCATGCCATGTAGCGTCGCACTGCAGGTATAGACGCTTAAGGTTGCTAAGTAGTGGGGTGAGGAGCATTTATTTCTGCCCATCGCAGGTCAGGCTTGTTTGTTCTGTGTATGTCTGTGGCCTCATTCTGGGAGAATATAGGTTACCAGTTATCAGGGATATGATTGAAAAGATTTTGTCTACACAGATGGCAGGATATCTAAAAGCTCCCAAACTGGGGTATATATATATATACACACACACACACGTATAAGGCCTTTCAAAAAATATATAGTTATATTTTCATGACATAATGGATCCCATTAAAAAGCTATTATGAAATTATTTTTGTGTGGTTGACTTATGAATCATAAAATGAAGGCAGAGTGAAGCAACTGTGAAACAAGGGTGAAGGGAGGAAATAAAAGTGAAATCATCTGGTTTAAATCCAGCTTGAACAACCACATTTGGGCACACTCTTAAAATAAGAGGCATTACATTTACTAACACAGACATTTTGATAGTACATTTTAATAACGATAAATTAATCTATTATATATTTTTAAGTTGTGTTTTTTTTTTGTATGGCACAACATAAAAATGGTTTTATAATAATCAGCAGATAAATTCAATTGGTTCGCTCAATATTCATGATTTTTTGTAATTGGGTCATTCAAATGTTGGTTGTGCACTTCACGGAGTTAATTCATCTTCTTTCTTTCTTTAGGGGCGTTTTCTGTGTGTCGACGTCAGCAGCTGATACTGATAGGTGACGTCAATCGACTGCGCCGCGAGCAAGCAGCGTCGCGATGGCGGCGGCTCAGCAGAAGCTGGAGAAGGAGAACGAGGATTGCTCCTTGCTGCCTTTAGTTCATGACATTATCAAATGGTAAGACGGCAGACATGTGTCGATTTGAACTGTGTGTTCACTGCTCTGCGAGAACTCGTTCACATGTGTTCGCTGCAGTTTGCGAGCGTGTTGATTTGCTAGCTAAAGCTAACGTTAGCTGCTAACACTCAGAAACAACATGAAAATGTATATGTCCTAAATGAAAACACGCACGGTCTGTGTGTGATGTTTAAACCACCCGTGTCCTTGTCTTGTCAGCATGGACAAGGACAGTCAGGACGTCCACCAGGAGCTGGCCAAGCTGAAGACAAAGATCCAGGAGGCTCGGGAGCAGATCTCCAACATGCCCGGGATCGACTGCAGCCCGGGGGAGCAGCAGGAGCAGCTGGCCACGCTGCGGGAGCAGGTCCGCACCAAGAACCAGCTGCTGCAGAAATACAGGAGTCTGTGCATGTTTGACGTGCCCAAAGCATCGTGACACTGGAGACCGATCACTGCGGTGCAGGGGGGGGACATCCTCACCACAGCAGACAAGAGACTGGATGGACGTTTAAATGAAGAGGGACTGATTCTTTTTTCTCTCTCAGTTGCAGTGAACAGTCTTTTTCAGACATTGTTGTCTCTGTTTTATTTTTTATATTCTGAAGTGCAAATTAGTTATGTTGAGTTTGTACAAATGTAGGTTTTCATTGTGTAAGTTTCTGATCTATCAACTCTCATATTTTGTAATAAAATTAGTACATTAAGAACTAATTGGCTTAAATCCCTTCTTTGACCAATTTTGATTTCTTCAAGTTAACAAGATGCACATGGATTCTTTATGTTTAAAAAAGGATTTATGGTTCCAAAATCCAGTGATTCAGTACATGTTCTCCACATATAATGCAGATTGTTTCGAGTTAAGTGCTTCAAACTGTAGGGGGTGGGCTAAGGGTCCCTAATGGACTCTCAGTTCAGCAGTTTGTGTATGAAGTGACAGGAAGAGGCAACATATGATGCACAGAAAGATTTTTCTTTTTTCAGCAGAGGCAGGCTGCAGAAACGTGCATTTTAGCTTAACTTGGTTGTGTTTTGCGTGAAAAAAGAGAGAAGAGAAGGGTAAAAAGTAAAGTCGAGTTTTTTCATTTTAATACAAAAGTTGACATCGACACAATAAATATACATTCAGATTCAAATTTGTTCATGACACAACAAATCTCCCAAGTTTGAAAAAATTTGTAAAATGTAAACATTCTTTTCTGAAGTGCTGCTCTTGGCAAACTAATGTAGATTTTACAGCATTTTCGGAGCATCAGTATACACAGGGACAGGCCTGCAAGCTGAGCCACCTGCCCCACATGTCTCAGCTCAGGTCACAACAGGCACCCACAGCTACAGTTTGTTGTCTTTAGAGCTCTGTACTCAGGATGACTGGCCTCGGTCTCAGCTCTTTCAAGTCTTTAAAAAAAAAAAAGGTCTCTTGCACAATGACAGACACAACTGTCAGCATATGATGCAGCCTTTCTCTTTGGCCTGACTGCCTCCTACTGCCTTCTCCTTTATGTACATCAAGTCACTGTGCACGCTGGGTCTCCGCGCAAACGGGGCCACAATCCCATATGCGTTCCCGTCTTTGCACTTCTTGTTTTTGAAGGACTTTCTGTGGAGGACGTCGCAGTACTGTAGGGACACTTTGCTGTGGCGGTCGGGGCTCATTTCGTTGGGCAGCTTTGCCATTGTAAAGAGAGTCTGAAACATTTGGTCCACGTTGGTGTTCTTCTTCGCCGAGATTTCTAAGTAGGCGCAGTGCTCGTCTCCCCCCACCAACCGCTCGATCTCCTCCTCCTGCACCTCACGGTAGAAGTCTTTGTCGCACTTGTTGCCGCAGATCACCAGCGGGACGTCCACGTTCTCCTTGGTTTTGTTTCGCAGGCAAGACTTAGTCTCGTAGATCTGGCGCTTCAGGCGCTGCACCTCCTGGAAGGACTCCCTGTTATCCAGACTGAATACCAAGATGAACACATCACCTGTAAAACACAAAGATAAAAACAAGTTAGAATCAAATAATTATATTTTCATTTGAACAAACTCTGCAGGGAGCAGGATTACATGATGCGTAAAGTGGTTTTAAACTCACCAGTAAGAATTGAAAGCCTCCTCATTGCAGGGAAGGGGTGATTTCCAGACGTATCCAAAATGTCCAGCTGGTAAACTTCTCCCCGGATGTTGTAGAATTTCCTGTGAAAATCCTCAATAGTCGGCGTGTACTGATCATCGAACCTCTCGTTCAGAAACCGAGAGATGATGGCGGTCTTCCCAACTTTGGTGGAGCCCAGGATCACCATCCTGTGGCAATTCTTGGCCGGTATGTCGAACTCGTTGTCGGATGGTGACATTTTCTTAATCATGCTTGCAGATGCTGCAACCGTGTGGCTGCTGTGGCAAGAGGTTGTTGGGGTTTAAATCCTTTGAGTGATGTGAGGGTTCAATCCCAGCGATCAGCGAGCTCGCTCTGAAGCTGGAGGAGTGCATGCTGGCAATTTATAGGGCGAGTCAGCTGCGCCTCCCCAATGCGTCATGCGTCAAGCTCCATCCTTGGCGAAGGGGGAGAAAGACCCGAAATCATAGTGTTACTATGGTTGTTTCTGTGCGTCAGATGTGTCCAGCCTTCATCGGCACAATCCGGGGAAGATACGGGCTTGATTTCAAACATGATAACATCATTGTTTGATCATTTCAACATCATATTTTCACGCGTAATCATAAATGAACTGCCCACAAACATGATTTGAATGTTAAAACCCTTAAACAAACTGCTGATAGATTAGACAAGTATCCACACAGTTGCTTTCATTGTATGCGTGAGTCCATATTATATAGTTTGATGGACAATATATGCATAAACTTCTTACGTGCATGTACCCAGACTGACTTGATCTGGGGTTTGATCGCTGGAGAAGTGCATGCAGCTGAGGAAGCAGTCGAACAAGTAGCTTAATTTGTCTCCTCGGTGACCAGTAATTAGAAAATAGACTTTCTCTGAGGAGAAGGCAGCTGGTGTGTATGAGAGGAGAACGGAGGGGGGCGCGGTGGTGCACACCAGCACGCCAGGCATTGTGAAGTGGACAAAGAATCTGGATGTTTTTGAACATGCCTGTTTGACAACCTGTTACAGCTACACTATTATCAATAATGTATGAGTGTATAATAATTTCATACATGTATATAATTTATAATAGTGTACTTGCATGATGTATATATGTTAGAAGTTGCTTTATCTCTTTTTTGTTTTATTTAATGTTATATATTATCATATGATGTAATCAATTTCTATTTATTATTATAGTTTCTTTCTGTCGTGTGCATGAGTGCATCACTTTATCAGTCCCATTATATTGTTACTTCAACAATTAGTATGTCACAGTCTTTATCTGCAGGAAACCTTACTGAATGTAATGAGCAACACCATTATACTGTATGTTCCCTCATTTCAACTGGGATTAAAATCTTATTTCTAGAGTAGGTATAGGGCAGCATTCAAAACACTGTTAAAAATGGGTTATGACAGCTGTCATATGAATGAAAATCAAGTTCAGTTGAATAAACAGGCTCAAGTTTCCAAAAAATAGAGAAAATAATCCAGTGAAAATGAATAAACATGAACCCCCCCCCCCCCCCCCAAAAAAAAGAAATCCAGAGAAGATGAATAAACAGGCAGTAGTTTCCAAAAACTCCAGCTCAGATAATCAGGCGTGAGTTTTCAGATAAATTAGAAACAGTTACATCGGAAACAGGATATTTTCTTCCCTCATTTACTTTTACATCCTAAAAATAAACAGATCATTAAAATATCAGGTCACTGTGAATGTGAGCAACAATGTACAATCGTCATATTGAAAAAAACAAAACTGCAACTGAAGAGGGTGTGACAAGGGACTGGAGGCTATACAATCCCATTTGTATTGACTTTCTCAGAGGTGTTAATCGAAGTACCTTAACGGATGTTCTAAAGATAGTTCGCCGGTTGTGACTTAAACTCTGCTCATCCACTTTTCCATCTAAGTGATCATTTCACTGCAGTTGGTACTGATTTCCGTTAAAATGTCAAGATTCCCCGAGTTGACAAACTTGTATCAACGCTTTTGCTCCCTCTTTCTTCTTTGATCTCTAGTGCCATGCCTTAACGAATTGCTTTAAATAACAATAAAATTATATTTCACAACAGCTCTAAAAAGCCTCAGCGTCATATTTTCGTATTTACCTTGATTTCATGTGAAACCTAAAACCTTGCAGCATGGATGACCTATTTAATCCCTCTATGGGCCATCAAGGATGAAATCAGATAGGTGTACTTAAGCCTGGTTGTTCAGTCTTGGGCGATGGGTTTGTATAACCACGTTGGAGGGAACTGCACTACAGGGAACACTACAGGACACGTGCAGAATGGCTCGTCCAGTTCTGTCATAACACTGCATGCATTGTAACATAATGGAGGGAGGATCATACATATTCTCGTCCATAGGGGAAATCATCTTAATCAATCTGTATTGTGCATTTCAGATTTGGATCAGACGAGAGTTGAAGAGTGCTATTAATATTCTGCTCTCAAAATCAAACTGTTCTTCTTAGATGCATTGATCAAGTGCAGGGCAGATTCAAGGAACTCATGACCAAAGAGGTTGTACTGTGCATTTAAAAATCTCAGAAACATCTGCTTTGCAATTAATCAAAAAAACTAAATAAAAAATGTTATGGTTATCAGACAGATTAGCTTTTCTTGGTAACAGCTGACACAGAGCAGGTCAAGTGCAACAACTTAGAGTTTCTCTATTTGTTTGGCCAGAGGGAAGAGAAACATCAACATTTACACGATTCCATCCTCGAGGTCAAGTCCACAAACCCCAGCTGCTCACCTGAGAACCAGCTCAGGGTCAGTCTAAGACATCACAGACATATGAGACACAGTACAACATGTCCTTCAGGCATCTTTGTCTTGGATCTTGCCTTGTACCATGTTTGTGCCCCAGTCTGTTCTGTTGCTTTCACTTTTCACTTTCACTGTCCTGGCAACGTGACCCTCAAGCAGAGTAAACAGATCGGCTGCAGCCCGCTCAGGCCACGGCCAATCAGACACATTAGACTCATTTGCTCCTCAGTCATGTTTACCTTCATCAATTAGTAAAGAGGAAACAAAATAGTGGGAGGAAAAAGTGACGCTCTGTTAGGACACGGTGTGGATATTAAAACAAAATTGTTCTTTTTTTTTTGTTCTTGTGACCAAGCCACATTTTGTTGTGACGGAACCAGTCCAGTAAATATAGATGAAATAGGTTTTATACCTTACTTTTGCCAGTGAAAATATGATTACGTCTGATTATAAAGGTGCGTCAGACTGTAGAGGACAGTCTGTATGGAGAGAGTTTTTTTTATAATGTTTTGTGGTGTGACCTCATTTGCAATTTCATGGTTGAAACATTAAGTGGTTAAGGTGCGAAGACCAGCAGAACAACAACGCCGACTGTCTGGTTTCACAAACAGCAGTGCGGGGTTGGTATCGAAGCACATACGTACAAAAGGAGTGTGATAACAGGTAGAGCAGTAACATGTTTGGCATCGTGTCATCATCCCCCATTCAACCATCCCCCGTCCCTTGTAGCACATGAACAGCCTTGTGTGAGTAACATGCTCGACACGCTATCAGTTAGTGCGAAGTCTCATTAGCAGGCAGTAAGAGCATATGTGTGTGTGTGTGGTGGTATGTAGAGCTATTCCACATTAAATTCCACGGCTTTACACTGGGTCTGGGGTCGTCGGTGGCCCACGTCACGGAGGTGATGTGGACCTGAGGTAACGTCAGAGCAGCCTCATTGCAAGGCTAAGAGAGTCTGCTGAGCAGAAAATGCTTCACAACACAATTATTCTACTATAATTTTCTTCAGATAGTATTACATACGTCTAAAGCCGTTTTTATGTTTGGCATTTTCTTCAACTCTTGCTCAACATATTAGAAACTTAATACATTTTTTGAATTACTATCCTTGTATCGGTTGACTTCCATAGCTGCGCAGTTGCAACCGAACTTTGTGACAAGTTCCTCGTTTGTTGATGTTGTGAAGCAGCAAGGGATCATGGGAGTCTTCACTATCGTTATTGAAAATCTCACCGACACTCAGACGCAACTCATGGTCATGAATGGGGTAAAGGTTTATTCACGTTACACAACAAAGGTTACAATACAATCTGTGGACGGAAAAAGCAGCCGACTGGCTAGCAGTGTGTTTTTCCTGGAGATACAGACAAAGCCAAGATGAAACATTTCGTTACCTTGATCAAACTTGGGAATTTGACATTGTTGAAATAATTTTTAATGATGTAAGTACACTAGTCAACAACTTAAGTTTCGTCATTTTTATGAAGAATTGTTATATAATATATCTTTGATGGTCATGAGTAAAAAAACAAACCAAAAATCTTGTAGATTCAGACTCATGTCAAATGTGCACATGATAACTGATGTAACTGATGCTGACTTAAATGTGCATGTGCCCTTTCATGATACTATTCTTAAAATACAAACTTGTGATAAGTGAATTCCCCAAGGGCTTAATTATATTCACTGAATATTTTGTGTTCTTGCTTGGTATAAAACACCAGATGTGGTTAACTGGAAAAGAGTCAAATCTGATTTGGTTCCCCTTTCCATTCAAAATGTCACACTCTTACAGAGAGACAGCTTTCAAAAGTCTGTGCTCATGTCATTTGTTTGCATTGAACTAAAAAATGCCAACTTTGCCTTTCTCCTTTTAATTGATGGACAATATGAGTAACATTATTTTATCTGAGCTTTTAAGTCTAGTTTGCTGTGTTTAAAGGAACAACAAGGAAAACAAAACTGGGAATTTCGGTTCTCCAGGTTCCACTGATGGACAATCTTTTCTTGGCAAAACTGATGTTCAGTTGAAAACCGGAGAGATAAGATCTGTCAGTGTGGAAAGATGAACTCGGTCCTCCTGGCGTTAGAGAGGCCACCTGATCTCATTGGCTAAGGGAAGGAGGGGCCACGCTGGGTTTACATGGCGTGAGACCTGGGGCTGTTGCGTGTCAGGCCAGGACATCTTGCAGGGAAACTGTTGAATGAAGCATGAGCCGGCAGTTTCCAATACAAAGGCTTCGGGTTCTCAGAGCCAATCAGAGTCCTGGCCTCAGTCCAGGTTTGGTTTGCTGACCACCTGTATGTTTTGATAAAACAGACAATCTGTCAACTCTGTGATTATCTGTGACATACAACCTGATGTCGGATTCCCAGTGTGACATGCAACACAAGTCAACATGTGATAACAGACTAAATTCTGAACATGCGCCATTTGAAACCTTCCTTTTTGATATTTTTTATCCCTGACCTGTCTTACTGAGCAATTTGATCTCACTATAGGGAAAAAGGACCATCAATGCAATTACAGCCTTTTAAGAGACGATGAAGATGGAACAGGTTGT